GTTTGGACTTTGGCGTGTGGATGATTAAAATCCACTCTCTGCTCTTTTAAAATACTGGTTTTCTCCTCTCCATTCCTTCGGGCAGGATGCCAGCCTTCTCCCTTGTCTCTGTGTGTGGATCATAACTTCCCTGGACAATTCTGCCACCAGTGAGGCGATCGGGCATCTCGGAGGCATGGCTGCAACCCACGAGTGGGACCTTCCAGACTTGGCCCTTCTCTGGCAGTGGCTGTTGAAGAAGCAGAAGGCCAGCACTCTCCTTCATGGCTTCCAGCTCTTCCTGGAGGTGAGCCGGCCGGCGTCGCTCTCACTGGAGCACATGTCTTGCGGGGTGTGTGTGTGTGTGTGTGTGTGTGTGTGTGTGTGCAGAGATCGTCCCGTCTCATGGCGTGCTGGGGAGGGGAGGGATGAGGAAGAGCCAGAATCCTGGGCTTGGGGGAGGCCCTGAGTTTGGATTCGGGCTCCGTGGAAGGATCTGGATGGCAGCCTTCTTCCTACTAGACGGCTGCCCAGACACCGGCTTGAAGCCACCTGGCAGACAAGCCCTCGCCTCTCCCTCGGAGCGGATGAGAGGAGGGATTCTGCTCCCTCTGCTCGTCTTTTTTTCCCTTCCAAAGATGTGCAACCCACCCTGGGTAGAATTTGGGCACACAGTTCTTTATTTCTCTTCTGATATTCAGGATTCTCCTTTGCTGATCATGCTGGAAGTGTATGAATTGTGCATGGACTACAAAAATTACAGCCAAGCCAAGATCAAACTGCTCACGTTCCAAGAGAGTCTTTCAAAAGTAAGCGGAAATTTAGTTTGCTCCCTGGGGCTTTTTAACAAACGGAAAAGGCAGGTTTCCCCTTTTGGGTGCCCTGAATGCTGCCGGCCCTTGGAAGGTAGCCTGGCTCCCAGGTGATGAGAATCCCCAGGGGTCCTGCCAGGGTGGCTCCTTTCTCGCCTTTTCAGCCCCTGTGGATGAGATCCAAGGTGCAGAGCGCTTCTCACGCCGGTTGACTTTATGGTGGGGATATACCCATTGGTGACCCCACTGGCGGTCACCTTCCATGTTTGGTCAGCATTCGGACCTTCACAAGCAGGGCCATCAGGGAGCTTGCATCTACTCCTCCCCTTTCTTATGGCCAAAGGAGAAACTTGGCTATTCAGGGCAAGGAATCATGCGTGTCCCACGGGGTGGGGGGGGGGGCACAGGAGCATGGCCCGCTTGTGTTGTCAGTAGGCCAGGGAGCGAGTGTTGTGGTTTGCCAGCAGCCTGTGCAGATGGCAGCAGAATCGGACAGTGAGGATGAAAGGGGACCACTCAGGGAGTCCGGAGAGGACTCGGACGAGGGTCCTGCATCCGATGCAAGGATGGGGCCAGGACCATCTGGGAGTGGGGTGCTGACTCCGGAGCCTGGCAGCAGTGAGGCCGACGAACAAGGGGAGCCTGTTCCCAGAGCGCGTCTGCGCAGAGCTGCTAGAAGGCGAGAGCAGCTAAGACAAAAGGGGCAACTCAGGAGTAAGTTTGGGAGGGGACTGCCCCTCCCATAAGGGATAAAAGTCAGACCTCAATGACGAAACCTTTGCAGGAAGCAAAGTAGTTCGATAGATTCCGAGTCCTCCTTGAAGCTCCCTGTACTCTGGTCATTTTTTTCTGGTACTTCAGTTGGTTTCTGTTGTAATAAATTGGATGCTTCTGTTTTTGGCAGCATTCCACAGCACTGAAAAGTGTGTGCTTATCTTGGGGAACTGTTTAAGATTAGTTCTGGCTGGGAATGAAAGCAATTCCCAGCGTTGCAATAAAATAGATTTTGCTTTTAAAACAAGTTTGTGTTTAATTACGTTTGATGAAGCCTGGGTCAGAACAGCGAGAAGAGCCAGTGTGAAGGAGAAGGGTAAATTCCACTCCTGATTTAGGAGCAAACCTTGGGGGAAGTTGTACATTTTGAGTGGAGAGGCTGGTCCAGTGAAGGGCCTTTCTCCCAAGGAAGAAGCATCGCTCAGCAAACCGGGTTTCTCAGCCGACGGAGGCTTCGTCCGGCCACGTACACGAGCATTTCTTTGTGCACGGAGTTTCCAGGTAGCCAAATGGCTGCTGCTCGCGAGGCTTTTGATACGAGCGGTTTGGTTTTGTGCCGGAGCTGCAGAGGAAAGGTTTGGAAACAGCCCTGCCCTCTTCTTCCTGCAGCTTGAAGCTCAGTGTGAGAGGTGGCCGCCCGTCCTCCCGGGGCCCTGGCTGGAGACGCAGGCTTCCTTCCTTCTCGACCTGATGCTGCACCAGTGCAGAACAGAGTACGAATTCGGGAAACTCCTCGAGCTGCTTGCAGAGGCAGGAGCTGCTCTTCTCCATGGCAAGGACCCCTTCTCTTCTCTTCTCTGCTGTGGCTGACATGGCAGGGGGCCGGGGGGCTCAGGACAGCCTTACCTGTGTCTGGTGGCCGTCAATTTCCTGCTGAGGTCACAGCAGGTGACCGTTTGGGAGAACAAGGATGCTGGATTCAGGGGGCTCTGCTGGCTGAGCTGCTCTGGTTTTCTCCCAACTGGGATGCCTCAGCCATGCAGCCCTCTGTGTGTGTGTGTGTGGGGGGGACTCAGGAAAAGCCCCTTTGCTCCATTCCCAGAGTCTGTTTAGCGACAGGCCGTCCCTATCCTGTCGCTATGGCCCCTTCTCCTTTTTGGGTGCAGGACCAGATCTGAAGAAGCTCAGTGCCCTCCGCACCGTCCTGAAAGATTCGCCCGTCTCCATCAGCCGGGCTCTGCTGAGCGACTACAGCCTGGAGAAGTTTCAGGAGGAGTGCCGGAGGATCCTGGAGCGGCTGCAGGAGAGCAGCTCCTTTTCTGTGGCTCGCCGGGTCGCAGAGCTGGCAGCACTGCCTGTAGACAATGTGGTCATCCAGGAGGTACCCCGAAGTCAAGCCTTTTTTTAGTTTTTATTCCCGCTGATTGGGTTTCATCTGCTGGAAAATTAGTGTCACCCCTGTCAGCTGTTGGGAGCTGCTTTCCCCTCCCCCACGTCTGGTGCAGCTGTGTCTCCGGATCTGCACTGGCACAGTGGGCAGTCTGGTTTCCTGGCCCTGTTTGGGACCTCAGTCAGCCTGGCTGTCAGGATTCCAGCACTTACCCCCCCATTTAAATCACGAGTCTCGAGCCAAACTTCCAAAGCTCCAAAAGGATTGATGGGGATTTAACATGTCCGGCACTGTCTGGGTGTAGCCGACTCTGAGACACATCATTCACTGTCACCCTTGACCCTGGTTTCCCCCCACCCCCCCACCCCCTGGGCGTATCGTAGTTCATATTCTCCAATGGGACACATCCATAGCCAAGAGTCATCCATTATGCTCTCCGGTTAGAATTGTGCGCATCAGAAACTTCGGTCACCTAGTTCCCATCTTTGAAAACATTTGTGGAATGCACTTTTGGTTTGCAAGCGGCCGCACTGCTCCCCACCCCCCTCCTTTTCTGCTGGCAACTCTGAAAAGACCATAGAAATACCATGTTATGAGTTGACACTGGCCCTCACAAGCCACACTTGGCTCTCCAGAGTTCACTGAACCCCTGCCAGGAAGAGGGACAGAATAGGAAGGGCGGGAGAAGCCCTGGGGGGGGGGGGTCAGGAAGGGAGGGCAAGCCATCCCTGGGATCGTGGAGTTCTGTGTCAGGCAAGCCTTTCTGTGCAGTGGAGTTCCTTGGCTTCTGATGGCTGTCTGTGTCCTTTCCAGGCGCTCCAGAACCTCCTCCTCTTGAAACAGGCTGGCCACTGGACTCAAAAAGAGACCAGAGTTGAGTTCTGGAAAAAGTGTCACGAGAACTACGTGCAAAATGCCATCTCGAATCGAGCTGCTTCCGGCTTCTTCTCCGCTCAGGCCGAATTGGTCTGGGAGGATGAGGGGGCACCCAGCAGCATCTTAGAGAGGCAGCTCCTGCTTACTTTGGCTGGACACTGGCTGGTCAGAAGCGACCCGGTCCCTGTTGATGACCTGGAAAAGATAGAGAGGGAGATTTGGCGTTGCCGCATCACGCGACAAACTTTCAGCCCAGGCCCAGGGCAGGTCGAGCGCAGAGGTTCTCGCCAGATTTCCACCGGTCGTGAGCTGTCCTTTGACTCCCTGGCCAAGGCCTTCTGCTTCTCTAAGGTGGCCGCTTTAAACATCCCCAAGTACCTGGAGCTGAGAGGTTTCCCTTCCCAGGATGCAGCCCCAGCGACGCTTTCCGAGGCGGAAGTGGCATCCCTGGGTTTGCTGATTGGATGCCTTCTGGACGAGGGGAGTGTGCACGAAGCGGCCCGGGTTTGCCGCTACTTCAGCTTCTACAGCCGAGATGTCGCGCTGATCTTGCATTGCAGAATGCTGGCCTTGGGGGAGGATGCCCAGGGCTGCTTCTTTCACCCAGAGATCCAGGCCCTCCTGGCAGCTGAGGACAGCCAGAGGCCTAGAGAAGCGGGGCCCGGAAAGAAGCGGCTGAAGAGTTGTAAGTTGCATCCCCGGGGAAACATCTGAGTGGGGCCAGCTCCCCTCTCACAGGCCATTGGTGCTCTTTGCTCATGGCAACAGCACAGAGGCCTCCCAACTGGGCAACTTTAAGGCATGTGGACTTCAACCCCCAGAATTCTGGGGACCCCTGCAATAGCCCTTAGACTTATATACCGCTTTCCACTGCTTTCCAGCCCTCCTCTCCTCCTCCTCCTCCTCCTCCTCCTGATTATGATTATGCCGCTTCATAGTGCTTTACTGCCACCTCAAAGCGATTTAGAGAGTCAACCTCATGCACCCTCCCCCACCCACCAGCAGCCACTTCCTACCTGCTCGCTGGCCTGCTTGCAACTTCCGGGCAGCAGGATGTCTCCTCCCCTAAAGATGGCGGGATCTGGGCTGCAGTCCAGCCTTTACTGTCGCCTCGCTTAGCAATAGAAATTCCCAATGACTGTTGTAAGCCGAGGAGCACTTGTGCCATTTCCCCCCTCCAGAAGTAAGTGGAGAAGGACGGGGCCATTCAGCAGCAGCTCCTTGGCAGGTCCTGTGGGTCCTGTGGGTCCAGAGTTTGTGAGTGGGCCAAGGGAGGGGGATGCACCTCAGGCTCTCTCAGTCCTGATGGATTGTGGGGCTGTGTCATGTTCTCCTCTCCCCGCCCCCTGCCCCGGTCTGTTGCTCTGGCTGTTTGCTCACCTCCGAGATCTTGGTTTCGTTCTCAGCCACAAGCCTCGATTCCTGGTCCTCCGTGGGGAGCTCCTCTCCGGATGGCGGAGTTGTCGGCAGCCTGCAGGCTTTAGTTGCGGAATGTGTGCATGGTCGGAATTACTGTCGACAGACCCTCTACCTTTACGAACTCTCCAAAGTACGTGGCTGGGACCTGGAATTCCGGGGGGTGAAGGGCCAGCAGGCCCCGTGCATCGAGCGGGAAGGGAGGGTGGGCCTGACTCTTCTCCCCTCCCCCTCCCGGCCGTCTGCAGGAGCTGGGCTGCTCCTTCAGTGAGATCGCCGCCCATGATTCGGAGAAGCTGCTTCGGGCGATCCTCTCCTCACAGCAGCCAGAGTGGTACAAGAGGGCCCAGGCCTTCATCACCAACCAGGGCCTGGAGCCAGAGGCTGTGGCTGAGCTGGTGGCCGAGGAAGTCACACGCCAGCTGCTGGCGCCTTCGGAAGGAAGGCTGAGTAAGTCCCCTCTCGGTCTCTGCTTGGGAACAGTTGCTGCTTCCTGGACTTTGGCCCTGTCGTTTCACGCTTCTCTTTGGGTGGGTTTGGATAGGCTCTCCTGCTCAAAGAGGGCTCGAACTAGAAGCCCCCCCAGGGCCCCTCCCAACTCTCCTGTTCTATGTTGTTCTGTGATTGCGGTGCTGCGTTTGCTCTGCATTTGCTTTTTGAACCGAACGTCTGTCGGGACTGTAGCTCCTCCGATCATCATTGATTCGAACGACGTCCTGCTACTGAAGGAGTAGAATTCCCAGGATCGGAGCAGAGGAGAGACGCAGCCTGTCTTCTTTTGTGCCCAGAGCAGAGCCCGGCCCTGAATCCTGCAGAGGAGAGCCAGAGGTTCCTGCAGCTGGCCAAGCTTTGCCAGGACCGCACGCTTGTTGGCATGAAGCTGCTGGACAAGGTTTCCTCCGTGCCACACGGGGAGCTCGCCTGTAGTAAGTCCGCGGGGGGATAGAAAACGGGCCCGTGTGGGGTTGGGATTCAAGGTGTGTGAGGACTTCTGAACCTCAGGCTGAAATCCAAAATATGTACCAATCCAAAAGGTCTCCTGAGGATCTATTGGCCAGAGGAATCTGGACCTCCTTGACCTCCTCTTCCTGTTGTGTCTCTTGTTCGCTCTTCTTGCATAGTCCACACCAGGGGTGTCCAACCTTGGCA